GAGGATTGCTTGGAAGGTAGAGACAATCACAAGGAATCGCCAGCTTTGTACTGCAGGTTCCCTCAAAAACATATCAAGCTTCTGGTCTGTCTGCTTCAGATCATTCCTTGTGTGAGCAACCACACCCAAAAAACATTTCCAGAAATAATCTTTAAGCCTGGAGATTCTAATCTCTTAGCCGCTGACCTCTGAGCTCTCATAACAGACAAGGCAATTCCAACAATAAGAAGGTCCTACCCTTAATCCCTAGAAAATTCCAAATTACAGGGCTCTTTTGTCAATTTAGAGTACAAGCTAAAGGCAGAATACCTCTGGAGCAAAGCTATATTCTTCTGCCCTCTCTGCTTTCAGGCTGAGGAGCACTAATTTGAGTTCACTCCCTTCTGTAGGATCCTACTGAAAAGCCACAAGAAGTCACCAATATAGCACAATATTCCAAATTCTTCCTTTCATTTCTCCTAACACTACAGTCTCAGTTTGCATAGTCAGCCTTCCACAGAACAGCAGGTACAGATTAATCAAATGCTTTGCTACTGTATAACAAGGGTTACAACTTTCCTTATTTTTCTCCATAATGTCTGGAGGTAGGCAGTCCAAGATTGGAAGAGCTGTTCAACAATGTCCAGACTCTTTCAATCCTTCTCCTTCATGGTCCTCAGCTTGTCAGAATCATCTTTTCTCTCTCATACTTGTCATCTCATAGTTGCAAAGATGGCTGCTATATCTCCAGGCTTCATGTCTGCATTTAAGGCACAAAGAAGGGGGAAAGAGGAGAGTACCAGCCATCACTGTTCTCTTTATCAGGAAAGCAAAAGCCATCCCTGAACTTGGAAGCCTTCCCTTCATGACCACTGGCAAAGGAGAAAGGGATTGTCATGACTGGCTTCAACTAGTCAGGATTTTTTGCTTGAAGCTGGGAACATTGCTGTCCCTAACAAAATGAAGGTAAGCAATAGGGAATGGGTATAAGGAAGGTCACTAAGAATATCTCCACACATAGACATTTACAGTTTTAAGAGAATGTTTGAAAAATGAAAAGCAATCTCCATTTGGTGAAATTTCAAGCAATATAAGAGAAGCAGGGGGAAGCTCCTCAGGCAGTGCTATAGAAATACACTTTAGGTAAAGAGATCTCTACTCAGGCATACCCATCCTACTTAGGAGTCTATCCCTTAAATTAACACACTTTAGTAACTGGGCTTTTCACAGACTCTTCCCTTCCTTCAATTCTGAACCCACAGATTCTCTAAAATACCTATGTTTATTCAACAGCTGTTTCTACGGCAGCAGAGCCCCTGGTGGAAGGGCACAGGGGTGGAGGCTATTTATAATTTAAGAACTGACAGTACATGCCAATAGCAGCTATTATTGATGAAATCCTTGAGAAATGTATAAAACAGATAAATACTGTGAAAAGCCAAAACCAGAAATATTCATGGTGCCTGCTGTTCACCAAGAAACCTCTTATAATTTGGTTTCCCATCTATATCCACCACCTGGAAGAAAATACACTGATCATACTGGTACAACCGGTTTTTGTAACAATTTTATCTCATTGTATTGGGTTGGCCAAAAAGGTCGTTTGGGTTTTTCCATGTTACCGAAAAACCCGAACGAACTTTTTGGCCAACCCAATATTTAAATTAATTTGCTTTCTGGCTTTACATATTAGGCTGATGAGGTCGTTAGACTAATTTAATCCTCTTTGGGACACTTACTGACCAGATCAGGTTTCTAAGACCACAAGACTGAGAGTTAGACCCTAGTAAACTCACTAAGGTTATACCACCCAATGTGGTCTTTTGAATAAAAGCAGCTGGCCTGCCCCAAGCAATAGCCCTTTACATCACTGAGTGTATTGGCATGAACTTCTTTAAAACATTTAATCAATTTTCATTCCATGTAGCTGCTCACAAGAGCCACTTTCTTTGATGTAAATTGTGCTACCTATAAATATACTCGAGTCACCAACCATTCAAAGTAAAATAGTTTCCAAGCAACCCTCAAATCACCATTTTTATGTATAAAAAGATAAGTAGTGTAGGGGTTATGGGCATGGGCTCTGGAGCCAGAAGGCTAGAGTGCAAATCCTAGTTCCACATTAGAACATTCTACCATAGAATCGGGCACAAATCTTTGTGCCAATTTTCCTCATCCATATGTGAGGCTTGAGGTAGTGAGGGACAGAATAATAGTGCCTACTTCAAAGAGTTGTCTGAAAATAAAATGAATTTATATATATAAGGTGCCTGGAACACAAGAAGCACTCAACAGGTGTTAGCTATCATTATTCTTCACTGGAAAATCTAATAGTATATGGTTGCATTTAATGCAAAATGATTTGATAATAAAGATTCACTTTATATGCAAAATATGAAAGAACACAAAATCCCCCCCAGTTAATAATTCATCAAGAATCACAGTTTCGGGCTCCCCTGGTGGCTCAGTGATTGAGAGTCCGCCTGCCGATGCAGGGGACACGGGTTCATGCCCCGGTCTGGGGAGATCCCACATGCCGTGGAGCGGCTGGGCCCGTGAGCCATGGCCGCTGAGCCTGCGCGTCCGGAGCCTGTGCTCCGCAACGGGAGAGGCCACAGCAGTGAGAGGCCCGCGTACCTCAAAAAAAAAAAAAAAAGAACCACTCTTTCAAAGCTGGTTGGTAATTGACTTATAAACTCTTTTAAGCTACTGCCCACATGGCAATAGCAAACTTCCCATTCTTTGCTGCCAGGAATAGTCTTGAATTACGCATGTCTCCTACAAAAGGCTACAGCTCTATACAGAGATGTGAAGGAGATAATAATCATAGCACTTCCCAACCCCACTGACCTCTCAGTGTTGATCCTGGTCTTCCTGGAGGTTACCTATGTCCTTGGAGCCTAGAAACTCTACAACCAATATCCAAACAGAATTAAGTCTCTGAACACTGCCCCAGAAAACTTTTCTTGAAATAAGGGGTCACTCAGCCTGGTTGTTTTTCACATGTGTGTACCCTTCTCAGACCCGGAGTAATTACCATCCATTCCCATTTTCCTTACTGTACATAGTTTTTTTTTTAAACATCTTTATTGGAGTATAACTGCTTTACAATGATGTGTTAGTTCCTGCTGTTTAACAAAGTGAATCAGCTATACATATACATATATCCCCATATCCCCTCCCTCTTGTGTCTCCCTCCCACCCTCCCTAACTGGTCAAGTTTAATACTTCCTTGCTCACAAAGAAATATTATCCTAAGTGGCCCTGATTTTCCTTTAACCTATGTCTACTCTTCTCTCCTACTCAAATACTTCTTTCCCTTCTGTTTTATTTACTCGTCCCCATCAGCACAAGTCTTCTTTCCCTTTTGCATGTGACTGGCACATCTTCACTCTCAAACTCCCCCAACCATGCTCATTCCACACCCAATTCTTCAACTTCTGTCATTCTTTACCCTCTGCCCTATCCCCCATCTACTAGACAGTCCATTTATTTGAGGAAAAACTCTTTTATCCAAATTTATTTTTCACTTTTCTGCAGTTTACTCTTTTTAAAAAATATTTAATTTATTTATTTATTTGGTTGTACCAGGTCTTAGTTGCTGCACATGGCTTCCTTAGTTGCAGCTCAAGGACCCCTTAGTTGCAGCTCACCAGCTCCTTAGTTGTGGCAGGCATGCTCCTCAGTTGTGACTCGAACTCTTAGTTGTGGCGTGCATGTGGGATCTAGTTCCCTGACCAGGGATTGAACCCGGGCCCCCTGCATTGGGAATGTGGAGTCTTAACCACTGCACCACCAGGGAAGTCCCTCTGCAGTTTACTCTTAATAAAAATCTGGTTCCTCCTTAGATCACAAGGTACCTTTTCCACTGTAACTTATTTAGTCCTTACTTTCTGCTTTCTCTGAATCGATGGGAAGAAGTGAGGAACAGCCTCTTCCTTGCTCCCAAATGCCATTTTCAGATCATCACACTGTGGCCCACTCTCCACTGTTTGAAATCTCTACCTTATCTCACATTACAGAGAGCCATTCTCAACAATCCTATCTGAACGCACTCATCTTTAAATTTATCCTCCCATCCTTCTCTCTAGTCTTGATAGAGGTGATTCAATTTCTGTTGACAGTAACATGTGTATTTGAAGAGCATTATACGAACCAGAAAAATTAAACGTGTTAATGGTGATCACATGGTCAGCAATGGAACAAACTGAATAAAACACATGACTACTTCTGTGCTCATAAAAGAACTTTATAATTTTCTATAATACTCCTAAAGTCAAGTTCTACTAGTTCATGTATTCTATCATTAGAAATATATCGTGTTAGCTGCTGCCTTAGACATAAATCACCACGTTTGTCAAAGTAAACCGTAGCAACAGAAAATGAGAAGGCCTGACGATGGATATATAAACTGTTCTTGGCAGATGATCAGTGTGCTTAGAAGACCCTCCAAAAAGAGGATTCTGCAACTTCCCAAGGTAAATCATTCTAATCTTACACATCCTGAATTTCAAAAGCTTTGACTCTTCTTATCTAAGTTTCTCCTGCTGTTTTTCCTCTATAGAGATGGAAAAAGGACAGGCACCATCCTCAGCAAGTCAGCATCTCAACTACTTGAAAAGCAATATCATCCCTTAGCCTTCACTCTTCTAAACTCAACAACTTGAACTATTTTCCAGACTCTTGTTCTCCAAGGCTTTCTTAATCTTCTTTAATTCTATTCATATTATTTTTAAATTACAAAGACCAGACCAGCTTACAAGTTTGTTTTTTTTAATATGTTTTTATGAATAGTTAACACATACTTGAACATGGTTCTATACACACACACCTTTCCAACTTTAGAATGGAGACCCAAGCTTCTGTAATTTAAAAGTTAAAGAACTTTCCATATTGTGGAGTCTACCACTATTTTCTCTTAGTTGAATTAAAACAATGATCTATGGCTAGAGTTGACAAATTATGGCTCCACAAATGGCCCCAAAACATTACAAAGAATAAATTAACAAATAATTACTTACCTGACCTGTCCTCGGGTGAAAGTTTTTCTCCTAGATTGCAGAGTAGAGATGAAACTGGCTCTCACTTTATAGTTCACCTCTTTTTCTTCTGCTTTGATAGAAATTGTGGCCACCATAAAGAAAAATAAAAACAGAAAATATTTTATATAACAATTTTAGCAACACATGGAAGAGAAGAGTAGAATCTGTTTACAAATTTTATGGGCTTTTTCTTTTACTTAGTAATACTCTCAAAGAACTTCGTAATAAGTAACAGAAACTTTAATATTTTTAATTTCTCCTGCTTCCCCTTTTTTAAGCCTCAGGAAAACTATTTATTGTTAATACTTCTAAATACTAGGCTAGGAGCTGGATTAAGAGGGAAATAGAATTTTATTAGAAGATTATTGTGTGGGAGGAAAAAAACCCTTTCAAACAGAGACTTTTGGGGGATGGCAAGGAATTTTATTTCTTTTTCTATGAAAGTTACTTTTTGTGTTATGTCTCCACCAAGAAAAAATTTTACATACAATATTATGGATAGAGAGTTAATAAGGATTGTCGTTTCAATAAAGTGGTAACCTTCATGAGAAAGAAAGGGAAAAAGTGGTATAAAATATGATCTATCTTCCACTTTAAAAGTTCCTTTTCCCAAAGAGCTTTACTTTATATGGCATGAAGAAGAAGGTCAAGGCTCAGAACACCTTAAGTATATAAAAGTGGCATATATGAATAATATAAATTTTTATATCAAGCCAATTATCAGAATGCATAATCAATCCCTCAGAAGTTTATGGTCTTTCTAGACCCATATGCTGAAAACTATAAAACATTGATAAAGAAAGCTGAGGATGATTCAAAGAAATGGAAAGATAGCCTGTGCTCTTCGACGGAAAGAATTAATATTGTTAAAATGGCCATACTTCCCAAAGCAATCTACAGATTTAATGTCTATCAAAATATCCATGACATTTTTCACAGAACTAGAACAAATAATCCTAAAACTTTTATGGAACCACAAAAGATTCAGAACGGCCAAAGCAATCCTGAAGAAAAAAAGAACAAAAGCTGGAGGTATAACCCTCCCAAACTTCAGACTATACTACAAGACTACAGCTATCAAAACAGCATGGTATTGGCACAAAAACAAACACAAAGATCAGTGGAACAGAGCAGAGAGTCCAGAAATAATCCCACTCACCTATGTTCAATTAATCTACAACGAAAGAGGCAAGAATATACAATGGAGAAAAGACAGCTTCTTCAACAAATGGTGCTGGGAAAGCTTGATAGCTACATGTAAAACAATGAAATGAGAACATTCTCTCACACCATATACAAAAATAAACTCAAAATGGTTTACAGACCTAAATGTAAGATATGACACCATAAAATTCCTAGAAGGGAACATAAGTGAAACATTCTTTGATATAAATCATAGATCAGTCTCCCAAGGCAAAAGAAATGAAAGCAAAAATAAACAAATGGGACCTAATCAAACTTAAAAGATTTCGCACAGCAAAGGAAACCATCAACAAAATGAAAAGATAACCTATGGAATGGGAGAAAATATTTGCAAATGATACAACCCACAAGGGGTTAATATTCAAAATATACAAACAGCTCACACAACTCAGTATCAAAAAAACAAACAACTCAATCAAAAAATGGGCAGAAGACCTAAACAGACATTTTTCCAAAGAAGACATACAGATGGCCAATAGGCACATGCAAAGATGCTCAACATCGCTAATTATTAGAGAAATGCAAATCAAACCCACAATGAGGTATCACCTCACATTAGTAGAATGGCTATCATCAATAAGTCTACAAATAATAAATGCTACAGAGGGTATGGAGAAAAGGAAACACTCATACACCATTGGTGGGAATATAAATTGGTGCAACCACTATGGAAAACAGTATGGAGGTTCCTTAAAAAAACTAAAAACAGATCTACCAAATGATCTGGCAATTCCACTCCTGGGTATATATCCAGGAAAAAAACCGAAAACTCTAATTCGAAAAGATACATGCACCTCAGTGTTCACAGTAGCACTATTTATAATAGCCAAGCCATGGAAGCAACCTAAATGTCCATCAACAGATGAATGGATAAATAAATTGTGGAATATATATACATATGTGTGTATATGTATATATACAATGCCATTAGAAAGAATGGAATATTGCCATTTGCAGCAACATGGATGGACCTAGAGAATATTATGCTTCGTGAAATAAGTCAGAGAAAGACAAATACTACCTATCACTTATATGTGGAATCTAAAACTAATACACATGAATCTGTATACAAAACAGAAACAGACTCAGACATAGAAAACAAACTTATGGTTACCAAAGGGGAGAGGGTGAGGGATAAATTATAATAGATACAATAAGGATTTATTATACAGCACAGGGAATTATACCCAATATCTTATAATAATCCATAATGAAATATAATTTGCAAAAAACCAAAATCACTGTGCTGTACACACGAAACTAAGACAATATTGTAAGGCAATTATATTTCAATTAAAAAAAAGAAGTTTATGGTCTTTCTGTAGTCACAAGAATAATGAACATGAAAAGTTTAATAGTAGCATAGGACGTCCCTGGTGGCACAGTGGTTAAGAATCCGCCTGCCAATGCAGGGGGACACAGGTTCAAGCTCTGGTCCAGGAAGACCCACATGCCGTGGAGCAACTAAGCCCGTGCGCCACAACTACTGAGCCTGTTCTCTAGAGCCCGTGACAACTACTGAGCCCGCGTGCCACAACTACTGAAGCCCACGCGCCTAGAGCCTGTGCTCCACAACAAGAGAAGCCACTGCAATGAGAAGCCCACCCACAGCAACGAAGACCCAACACAGCCAAAAATAAATAAATAAATTTTTTTCAAAAAAAGTAGTATAATTTTGTAACTACAAAATATCAAAAGTTTATCTACCTTCAAATTTAATCATGCTAGTTTTTTTTTCCCCCTCTGGTTCATTTTTAGTCTGTTAGATAAGTGAAAAATCAAATTTTCTTCTTTACATAAAAATAATCATAGAATCAGAAAAATTTAGAGCTAGAAAGAAATTTAGAGAATTTCTAGATGTACCAAGTTCAATCCTCTCCAAATCAGAGACATTCATTTAATTGCCTTTTTCAAAGTTAAAGAATGAATTGGAGGTGAAACCCTGGAATCCAGAATGCTTTTCCCACTTAATTCCTCAAGCTTACTGAGACACAACTTTGTGTGTGTATGTGAGGCAGTGAGGCAGTAGGGTTGAACTTGAGGTCTCTGAATCAGACTGTCCAGGTTTGAATCTTAGTTCCTCCACTTATTATCTGGGTGTTCTTGAGCAAACTACTTAATCCCACGGTGCCTCAGTTTTCTCATCTGTAAAATGAGATAACAACTATACCTTCCCAACAGGACTTATGAAAAAGTTAATACAAATAAAGCTCACAGAATGATGTCTGACACATTGTAGGCATTTAACAAATGTCAGTAATCATTAGGAGTCTATCAATAAACACATGGACATGTACTTGCTAGGTTTTAAAATAGCCTAATTAGACTAGAATTGGAATACTAGATCATTTTTGTTTTAAAATACATATACAATCACCGATATTTCATTTTGCCATACAAACAGTGCCCCCAAAATGGTTTCCTCATGAAGTACATGCAAAATTCCAGATATTAAGCACATAATAAAGCTCACTTAATTTGAATACCATTTATTTTGTGATCACTTGAGCCCAGTGGTATACTCAGAATATGACACCCAAAAGGATCATTTTTTTTTCTAACACACCCTCCTCTACGTGACAAAATTATTTTTAGTAATGACCGTGAAATGAAACAAATAATAATAGCCAGGAAAGAAACAGACAGTGAAAATTCTTTTACTCAACTCCACTTATATGATATAAAATAAATATTATAGTACAAAAAAGGAAAAATGCAACGGAATTCATGTTTCTGAAAAAAGGAATAACTTAAACCTACATATTGTTTTGTGGAAGTACTAAGTAATAACATTGCACCTCCTATTGATTCCTTCTTCAGTTCTGAAGTAAACATTAATAATTTAAAAAGAACAAATTTCAAAGTAAAAGATTTTTTTAATTCAATTATTCCGAAGAATAATTTCACATATTAACTAAACTTGTACTTACAAGCCAAAAATATTAGACTTTGTTTCCCTCAAATGTTACATGCAAAATGAAAACCCTAAGTGGTCATACAGAATGACAACACTGAAGTCATCAAGTCTGTTTCTTCATCCTTATAGTCGCTATGCAATCACTGCTTAAGAATCTACTATATAAATGCAAAGATATGGACCAAAGGGGCTGCAGACATGAACTGCACCTGAAGCCTTGAATTACCCTGAGTTTTTATGAATTTATTTGGAAAAATATCTGTAGAGCTGAGTCTATGTTTATTGAAGGCCAACTGTATAACTGGGAGTTCTCTGATTTAACTTCTATGTAGAATATGATATTTATTAAAGGATCAATAATTAAAATGTGCTAATTTGAAGCTTACATATACATTACTAAAACTTAACAGTAACTACAGTAATTGTTTAGAACCTAGACTCATAAGAAATTTTTCAGGGAGAAATATTTTATCATTGACACTGTTTAGAATTTCTGGTACATAGAAATTGCTGGTAATAAAAATTGGACAGACTTTTAGTGGGTTTATTATAGTTTAATTCCCTACAGACAATGAGAATTTTTGTTGCCTACACCCCAAGTGATGCTCTCATTGCCCCCACTCCTGGCATGCCACCGCTCAAGGTGAAATCTGCCACTGAGGTACTATCCTTGAAGATGGGCTCACTACATTAAGCGTATTTAAGCTACTTATGAGAAAACATTTTTAAAAAGAATGTTAATTGAGGACCTATTCAGTGCACGGTACTGTGCTTTGTCTTATCCACATAGAATGTAAGCACATGAATTTTGCTAGTTACAAGTCAATCACATTTATTCATTAAAGCCCTCTCAGCAGAATTTTTAAAGCTATTTTGTTAGCAGTTATTATGTATACTTAAATTTTTAAATAATTATCAGAGTCACATATATTCCATTTTTCAAGCTTTTCATTAACTTAAATTGGCTTTCTCCCTGTGTGTTCCAAATAAGTGAGGGTGCATCAGAAATCAACATTCAGAAGAGGTTTTAAAATATTAACATTTACATAAACATTAACAACTTAAAATCTCTTGATATTTTAAAATTTCACAACTCATGTGGCATCAGGTTCATATGTCCTACTTTTTCAAGCAGCTATCTCAAGAGAACAAATTTTAACTCTAATAGCAATCTTTTTCATTCATAGGATCAACATAATCTCCAGTCTGCCTTCTCATAATCTTGCAGCTGCATACATGCACAAATTTTCTGGTTATGTGATTCTGGTACTCCTGAAAAGACAGTCTTTTTAACTGAAAGAAAATCTGACTTACCTCAAAAGGTACTTTGGTATGGGATAGCGTGCCAATTACAGCCACATTAGAAGCAGATATATCTGGCAAGAAAGTGACACACAAGCCTTAAAACTACAGTTAATTTCTTCTACTCCTGCTGTATAGGTCCTATTTTCTTTTATGCTGTGGGGCTCCTTCACCCACAAAATCCCTCTCACTAGTCACCTACAGTCTACTAAAGCCACACCTGTTCCGTTTATAGCTCTAGGATTCCCCAACCTCTCCCATTGATAAGAATCACCTGGGACAGTTAAAAATAAAAATAACAGGCCACACTCCCGTAAATTAGATTTTAATGGGTTTGAGGTGAGGCTCCGGTATCTGATTTTAATCAAGTATCCTCAAGAGAGTCTTACAGACACATTTAAGAATAAACTAAAGAGGCCTGCCAGAGATCTTCACAGTTCCTCCAAATTGATCAGTCTCAAGGGCTAATCCTCCTTTGGGTGTTAGGACATAGGGTATTTGAAAATAGAGCAGGAGAAGTTTGGAGAAAGCAGAATACCATCTTGTCTACAACTCTGATTTAGGTTTCCAACATCCTAAAGAATTAAAGAAGTGGAAGATTTTAGTTTGGATAGGTGATGTGAAGTACGACACCACCAGGGAGCAGCATAGAGCTGATAAATTACACATGTTTGGGGATTTTTTGACTTCACACTACCACATAAAATGGTGTACCTACATTTTCCATGAACTCAGATTACAAAAAAACAAAAACAAACAAACAAAAACCCCAAAGCAGCACACTTAAAAGACACAGATAAAATATGTTAGCATGTAATTTCCAGTTTTCTCTCTCTAGAGGGTCTTCATTGACAGCTGTTATAAGAAAACATTTCCCTTGAAGTAGCCTTGCACCTGAATCCAAAACTGGTATTAGACTACAAAGATTCCAGGTAAACCAAAGTGGTGTTCCAATTTTTCTGTCTGCAAGTTTCAAAATACTTGTCCTACTCTTTTAACTAGCATTGTAACTGGATGCTTTTCAATGGTTTTAATCAAGTCTTTAGAGTTCTACTAAGTGTGAGGGTGGGGGGGAATGGGGTGGAAAACAACTTTAACAAGCTATGCCGAGGTTCTGTTTTTTTTTTTAACACTTTTTAAAAGTGTAGTTGAAATTTTGCCACCACCTGTCAAAAAACTATACCCACCCACCCAGCAATCCCATCCATCCTCCCAAGTTTTCTTGACTCATCCCCACTTTCTCTTTTCCAGTCCACATTAAATGTAGAAAAAAATCCTCTGGCAACCCAGGTAGCTTCTACAAATATCACCTCCAAGGGCTTTGTGTTCCTCTGAAATTCCATTACAGTTGGGTTAAGAAACATTGAAAGATGAAGGAGGACTTGAAGAAGGAATTTTACTTACTTCCCAACTTGCCAAAATTCGATACTCATTCCCTACCTAGAAATTCCTGTGTCTAAGAAAAGTATGATCCAAGCCCCTGTGGCAATTCTGTGACCTGGGTTTTGATTTCCATCTTCTAGCTAGAAAAGCTGAGGTGGGAGGAGGAAGAGGCAAGAATGACTCAGACATTCCTGGGAGACCAAATAGGCCTAACCAAAAAACAAACAAACAAAACAAAACAAAAAACCCACTCTAGAAGAGGTGTGAGAACCGGAAATCAAAGCTGTCTGCAGAGCTACAGCCCATCCTGGAACTTAGCGTTCTAGAAAAGAGGGTTTCCAATCTTTTCAAGTATTTTAGCAAAAATGTCAGGACCCTACTGGAAAATGGCTAGTTTAGCCTGAATTGAGACGAGTAACAAAACGTATTCCGAATCCAGAAGCTGCTTAAGTGATTGTATTCCACTGCTCACAGCAGCACCTGCAGACATTAGAAAGAGTTGTATGGGAGGACTTTAACCTACAGAGAGTATTATGGGTGCATCCACAGCCCTCACGTACTCCACTTGCTCCACCCGCTAAAACCAAGAGCCACGGTCCTAAAGCAAGCATTCATTCTCCACGGGGTTGTTGTTATCTCCAAGGGGCGAAATCTTACTCTTTTCATGTATAAAGCACAGATACACGTATGGTACATAAACAGCTATTCAGGATATGAATGGTATTATAATTTCATGGCGGGTGGGGAGGAAGGGACTGGTGAACAAAACGTTTAAAAAGGCTTTTCTTAAGAGAACGATAATGGAAAGAAAAAAAATAGGCTGAGTAACACTGTCCTATAAGTGTCCTGAGCTAAAACCATCAAATGAAGGTCCTGACAGGTAATTTTCTCCCAGACAGAAGCCTAAGGGTCAAGGGTCTCTGATTCTGGTTAGATCTCGGCCACAAAGAGGTGTTTTCCTCTCCGTGCCTCAAACCTCAGAGGGCAGTGAATGCCCGCCGTTTGCTCCCTCACGGGGTGCCGTGTGTGGATGTGCCCAACAACTAGCAAAGAGCTTTGGAAACCGCAAAGCGCTGCACCAAAGCCAGAGGAGGTTTCTATTCTCGGCTGCACGAAATTCCCCGGGTGGGGCCCCCTCGGCCTCCGCACTTGTTGCTTCCCGGCCCCGCCGGCCTCCACCTCAGACCTTCTCTCCGCGACCCCCTCCTCTCTCCACAAGCGCACGCATAGCACCCCCCTCCCCCGGCCCCGCGACCCCCTCACCCACGCCACGAAACCGGCGCGCTCCGTTCAGGCCCTGGCGCCGGCCGAGTCCCCAGCCCCCATCCCCCTGCCCAGTTCCCGCCGACTGCCCGGCCCGCAGAGGCCGCCGTTTCCTAGACAGCCGCGCGGCCGCTCCGCTGCCTCCGGGGCGCGCGCGCCGACGGCGGGAGGCGAGGGCGCAGGCGCGGGCCCGGGCGAGCCGCCGGCGCGTGGCCGCGCGCGCCCCCGATCGCGGTGGGCGGAGGAGCGGAGTGAGCGGAGGCAGCGGCGGGCCGCGAGGGGGCGAGGGGGCGGGGGGGCGGAGAGGGGAGCCCCGGGAGCGCGAGCCGCGGCCGGCGCCGCTGCAGAGCCGAGCGAATCCACAGCCCGGGCAGCAGGTATGTGTCCCCGCAGCCGGCCGTGGCCGGGGCTTCCCCTGCCACTCTTCCCGGGTCCGGGGGTGGGGGCCGGTCAGGGTTTGCAGGGTACGTGTCCGGGAGGGCTGGGATCTTACCACTGACCTTCATCCCCTCTGGTCGCTGTAGCAAGGCGAGGGTGCCTGGGGCAGCCTAGGGCTTCAGCTCCAGCCTGGGGATCTGCTTCTTGTCACATGCTTCTTATTTATTTTTGCAAACTGCCCTGGTTCGGGTCCAGCTGCAGATGCCTTACCTCCCATTCTTTGCCTCTGTGTGCCATCTTGCATTTATTAATAAAACATGCAAGCTGGGGGTTGGGGATTGCTGCTGGGGGGAATCCCATTGCAGTATAACAAGCGGGTGCCTATTTTAGGTTTTCAGGCGTGGTATTGAGGTGGAAATCCCACACCCTGGGGATTTGTAGCTTTGTTGGTCGTGACCACTTCCTAGTGGGCTTCCCCCATTTGTCTGGAGGCGCCACAGCGGCAGGATGGACTGATAGGAAAGGATGGTGGGTTTTCACCGTCAGGCCAAAACCCCGTTCTAGGGACAGGTGCAAGCTACGGCGGACAGTTCCCTGCTTGCTAACTTGCCAGGGTGGCTTAAAACCAGTAAATTGTTTCCCTTGATTGCCGAGAGGAGGCCTTGAACAGAATCCCTGAGACTTGCATACTCAAACTCATTAAGGTTTTGCATCTGAAGATGACTAAAGCTTGCCACCTGTTGGAAGTTAGACCCCATGAAATCCCCCGTAATCTAGCCCACCAATCCCTGTTTCAGTCACTAATACTGAGATAGCAATAGGCCCATACTGATTCCTTCCATATTCCTTAATACTGCTTGGCTTTTGTCTCTTTTAAAATAAAACCTACCTATGATTTGATGCCCCGTAGGTTATAGGTTGAAATTACATGATTTGTTTATATTCCATACACATATAACATCATATCCTAAAGAGTAAATTTCTCTTCAGTGTATATGTTGCCTATTTCCCCAGCTTTTCACCTTGCTTCAAGAAACAGTTCAAAAAGTGGGAGGTATGTAACTGATTACCTTTCTTCCCCCACCCCCCGAAATACTGTGGTGAAAAAAATAGTAAAAGCTAGAAATATAGAATGAAAATGGTTACCACAAGATGTTGGGGTATGACAGCAGGACTGTAATTTCTTCTAAAATATATAGTAGAGTGCCACATCTAATAATGAGAACACATTTCTTAAATGCTCATATGTGCCAGGTACTGAGCTACAAGCTATTGGTACATATCTCATTTCATCTTCATAACAAACCTGTTATCTCCATGTTGAAGATAAAGAGACTAAGAAAGGTTAGCTGACTTGCCCAAGGTCACACAGCCCGGGACAGGATAAGGATGCAAACTCTAGTGCATCTGATTGCTGGGGGGTGGGGGGGGATGAGAGTAGCCTTTAACCCTGGTGCTGCTGTTCCATCTACATTTTCATTAAGATCAAAGCTTATGCATGAGCATACAAGCTTGGATCTGATTTTCCATTTCATAGATTTCACATCAACCTTTGTGGCTCTCCAGTACGAGAAACTGTTGTTTCAGAATGGGTTTGTGTGGAATTTTTTAAGGTGGCACTGAGCCTATAAACATGGGGTTCAAGATGTTTCCATTCAGCTCTCCCAAACAAGCAATTAAGTTCAAAAAGTTGTTTCCCTTCAGATTTAAATCTGTAAAATGTATATGCATCAGGTAGAATGAATTACGTTTTTCATTATCACATCCTACTCCAATCTTCTTGCTGCCCTGCACACTATCTTCTGGTCTCGCTGCCAGTCATTAGAACAACATTGTCTGTCATGCTTGTGTGTGAGTGCCTTAACCAGGTGAAGGAATCCATACAAGTCGTGAACCATAATCCAGTCTCTGTGATTGTAGCAGCTCTTCATTTGAAAGTTTTGGAATTTGTACAGTCAACAATGGATATAAATTTAATCTTTTTTGTAAATGCATTATTATAATGCAGGTATTGGATTGTGCTACACATTCCTAACAGTTCTCACAGACTTAGAAATCACTGTAGTTGCATCAGTGGGAAATTCACTCAGGGGGGCTACAAAGTTTTATGCTCAGATCATATATTTGAGATGGTGGTGAGAAAAGTACAGCTAAGTAGAAGGGGTTATTTGAAAATTATATCCCATGGAAATTACAGCTTTAATGATAAATTGATGAATAATATTAGGTCAGAAATAAAAGACTCTTGTAAATTCTGTAAGGTCTGTTTTCTTTCTTGACTGGTTTTAGGACACCATGATGTTACTTTTTTCATTATACTCTATTCTGTTGATAGTAAAGCAATTTGTTATAGCCATTTTGCCTCATGGAAATCACTCGGTTTTGGAAGAGCTCAGCCCCAGTGCTTATGGAAATGCTGAGATGGAGTCTTTCTGCCCTGGGGATTTCCAGTCTATGATCAGATAAACTCAAGATGAGTCCTTATGTTACTGGAAAAAAAGCAGAAAGCAAAGAGAGGTACTGCTTGATTCTGGGGAGCAAATTGGTTTTCCTATGGGGAGCACCATTATCTTCTTCAGTCAGAAATCTCATAATTAAAAAGCATCTAAGAAGTCTACTTTCTTCTGTGTTCAAGCAGGATTTTATTTACTGCAGAGCTGAGCACCCTTTTTTGGTGCAATGGTCAATTTGAGGAATGTTAAAATGTTTCTGACTACATATTTGTTTTCTTGAAACATATGTTTACACTGGGAAAAGCCATATGAACAACTATGGATGCTTAAGCATTATTTTTTTTTATTCCCCTCATCAAGGGTTTTTTTTTCTTATTTTTGGAAGTGGGGAAGCAACTAAAATTTTTCCAAGCTATATAACTAGCATGCATTGCAGTGACTGATTGTAATGCACATTTTAATGCATTGTTGAGTAAGACACTGGGAACTGGCATATTTGTCTTTCCTTGACTGACCTTGTAGGCTACTTAGTTGTGAAATGTCTTGTTTTCTTACAGTATTTCTTAACTCAGTAGTCTCTAAAATGAGATTTTTTTTTTCAGTGTCAACAATCTTGAATCACAGTAGTTCACAGCTTACTCTGAAATACTTGATTTTCACCAGTCTTCTTTTTCTCTCCTTGATGGAAGCTATAGCAAGGGTTTTAATTTTATTTAGAAAGCAGTTCACAACCTGCAAGTTAAGCCATCCCCTTTCCAGACTGAACCAGTCAGAGTTCACAAATGCTGGCCAGGCACACCCACCGTAGGACCTTCTCCTATAGAGAACCCTAGACCTCCTGCTGGACTTACATGTGCTCATTTTCCCCATATGGAAGATGTAAGAGGTCCTAAAGTGAGCTCACACCAGTGGGCCTTGGGTGCAAGGTAGGATGGAGGCTACTTGTAGGAAAGAGTCAGGAAATCACTTCTCCTGTACCAACACTAGTCTATATTGTGATTTCTGCTTGCAAATATGTATTCATTATAAAATGTTTGATCATTACATAAATAGAGAAGGTAGAGGTCCATGGTTAGAATCTTTGATATTCTTATACTTTAGTGAGACCACCATTAATAGTTTGGTATAGATTTCTCTGGATTTTTGAATGTGGACACTAAAATGTTAGTTTGCCAGCAATACTATACATAGATGCACACGATTTTGTAGTTCCTCTTCTTGCACTTGGTAGTAGACTTTGGACCTCTAGAAGACCCTTGAATGGCATACTTTCAGACACGGCCACAATGGGAACTAGATGAGAGGAGCCCTGTAACCAGAGGTAGAGGAAGGGAACTAATGTGTGCTGGGTAGGAACCTGGCATTAGCTGTGTCCTGGGATAGGTAGTTTCACATTCCATATCTCCTTTAACCCTTTGCAATGACCCTTTGTGGTCAGCTGTTTCTAGATTAGGAGAGAAGAGCCCAAGGTCCATGACATAAGGAGCAGAGCTGAGATTCAGACCCAGGTCAGTGTCGCCCCAAATCTGGGCCTTCTCCTTCTTTTCACTCTGATTGCAGGATGGAGAGTGCTGTGTCCCATCGTTCTCTGGCCTCCCATCCTCCTCTGCCTCTGCCCATCCACACGGGCCTCCTTACTGTTCTCCCGCCTTAGGGCCTTAGCACTAGTGCTTCCGTCTCCTGGACTGCCCTTCCCGCAGATTCTTGCATGGTTTGCGCCCTCACCTCTTTCTGGCTTTGCTCAAAGTCTCACCACTCCTTTAAAACTACACGCCCTCCCACAGGCATTCCTGTTCCTCCTCCCTGCTTTGCTTTTATTCATAGCCCTTCTAAATATACTATATAAATCTCCCACAGAGAATGAACACTCCAGAGCACAGGGATTTTGTCTATTTTGTTCACTCCCCTAATCCTGGTGCTGTGGAAAAGAACTGACAGGTCACAGTGGCATCCTTGAGTATTTCCAGCCTCCCACACTTTTTGGTTTTTGTAGCCCTTACAGTTCTGGTAGTGAAGCAGTGAAACCTCTCAAATGCAAAGGCTTTATATGTGTTTGGGGGCGGGGGGAACAGCAAGGAAAGTAGAGAAGAATTGGGAGAGATGTTGTCTTACTCTTGAGTCGAGGTTAGGAAGAGAGGAACCTCCCAGGTAGAGTCAGCCCCGTAAAGATGGAAAGAAAGTCTCCTGAGGGCTGGGCTGTATAACAAGGCAGCAAAAGCTACATGCGGAGATGGCCTGGGTTGGGGAGGAGACCTGTGTGGGTTCCCCTCTATTTGGAGTGCAAAATATTTTGAAGACTTCCAAGAATGGTGCTCCAGATTCCACCAACTTTCCC